CCCTGTGGCGGACGTGGAGGGTTTTTGCTGTGAGCTCTGGGCACATCCCTTCCGACGCCGACAATGTGCGAAAGGACTGAACCCACCCGTCCCTGCGTGACTGAGAGCTTAGCGGTCCCGTTTTACAGTGCCTCCCCAGTTCTGTTTTGTGCCGGCGATGTTCCCCTCCACGGGAGCCTCTTCCTGAGGCAGCCGTTCCTTCCCCAGCGGGTTCACCCGCCAGCTCAGCACTCGTGGGGCCGTACGACAGGCTGGGCTGACTGACAGTCCTGGGTGATTTCGTGTAGCTGGCACGATTAGGAAGAAAACTGTGGTTCCCCCCAGAAAACCCCAGTGACTTTCATAGGCTTAAGCGAGGTGTGCTTGTTTAACAGCATTCTGATTAAGTAAAAGCACCTCTGAAGCGTGGCGTTGCCTTACCCTTCAGCTCCTCGAGATGATGTTGTTTGGAGGGAGTGGGAGTGAAAACTAAAAGTATTTATGGTGCCTTCTTTACAGCCTTTATGGAGGCTGTGTCTGACTCCAGAGTTTTCCGCCTTGGACTCTGTGATTTAGCAGAGCTGGGAGCTTTACTGGTATTTTAGAGTTTCCCTGACGGTCCCTGTTAAGAGTGTAAACATTTCGCATAGGGCTGTTCTCTTTTATAGAACTTGTGCAAGTTACTTGGTGAGGAAAGGGGAGAGGGATCCTCAGTACCCCGCGAAGAGCAGCTTCTGGACTGACTGGAAGACAGAGGTGTCCTTAGGGAGCACACTGGGACTTGGGTTCAGATCTTCCTGTAATGTCAGCGAGAAAAATGCCCTGCAGAGCTTTTCTCTACAAAACAGCTTTTGATGCAACCACAGTAGGATTAAAAGGGTTGTTTTATTTAATGTGGAGTTAATAATTTACGTTCTGATTTCTTGCAGTCCCACAAACCTCTGGGAATGTTCATAAATCCCAAAGCTGTTCAGCAACACAGAGTTTTTCCTGGATGTGTTTTTGTAGCTGTTCCCTGTTGCTGCCTCTTGGCTTAGCATTTATAAACCTACTTGGGATCAAGGCTGCGATAGTAAAAACACCAAGAGGACTTATTTTGGTTCCCGTGGCGTGGCCTTGCTGTGCCCATCCCTGCAGCCGGTGCCCTTGGCAAGCAGACAAACATCGTCTCCCACCCTGAGAAGCCGGGGAGTGAGTTTGTGGGACTGGAGACTGATTGTTAAACCAGACCTGTGTGGCAGGAGAAGTCCAGTGATGTAGGGGCTGTGGAGGAGAACTGGCAGTGCTGTTTGGAACATTAATTCTTACACAGCCTGCATTAAGCATGGAGTTGCAGAACGATATGTGCAGGTGTATTAGGATTGTCAGCAATGCCCATGAGCCAGCACTGTGCCCTTGAGCCAAGAAGGCCAACGCCATCCTGGGCTGGATGAGAAGGGGTGGTTGTAGGGCAGAGAGGTTCTCCTGCCCCTCTGCTCTGCCCTGCTCACACCACAGCTGCAATCTTGTGTCCAGTGCTGGGCCCTCAGCTCCAGAAGGACAGGAACTGCTTGAAAGAGTCCAGCAGGGCCACAGAGATGCTGGAGGGAGTGGAGCATCTCCTGCTGAGGAGCGGCTGAGGGAGCTGGGGCTCTTGAGCTTGGAGCAGAGGAGCCTGAGGGGTGCCCTCATTCCTGGGGATCCATTGGGAAAGGGCAGTGTCAGGAGGAAGGAGCCAGGCTCTGCTCTGGGATGGCCAATGCCAGGACAAGGGGCAATGGTCCCAAGCTGGAGCACAGGAGGTTCAAGCTGAAGATGAGGACAAAGTTTGTCAGTGTGAGGGTGGCAGAGCATGGCCCAGGCTGCCCAGAGAGGTTGTGGAGTCTCCTTCTCTGCAGACCCCCAAAGCCCTGGCCGTGTTCCTGTGTGACTGCTCTGGTGATCCTGCTCTGCAGGGGTTGCACTAGGGGAGCTTTCCGGGTCCCTTCCAGCTCCTCACATTCTGTGATTCACAATGAAGATGGGGAAGTTGAGAGAGAAGACAGGTGAATTTTCCAACTCAGGCAACAGAAAATGAACCTAGCCTGGGTTTGCACCCCACCAGGCCTTGCTTTCACCTCCTGATGCTGCTATAGAGCGTGTTACTCGGTGTTATTTGAAATTCCTTCTGTTCTCAGCTTTGATTTAGCCTGTTTGAGTTCAGTATCTTGGCTGATTGCAAACACCGTAATGAAAGATGTCTTCTGTACCGCCACCTAATCACCTTTTGAACAGTCACTGTAGTTATGAGGCAGCAGTACAGAGAAGTATAAGAAAAATAAATATGTGTATATGTACATTTTTATTACAGCCAGAAGAGGAGCCAAAAGAGGAAGCAGCACCAGCCAAGCCTGTGGTAGGAATTATTTATCCTCCTCCAGAGGTCAGGAATATTGTGGACAAGACTGCCAGCTTCGTGGCCAGGTAAGTGACACTGGTGATGTTGGGCGTTTCCTGGGATTGTCGTGCTTCTCTTCTTCACCACTGATGTCTGCCCAGCTCCAGAGGCTGAAGCAGGTCACAGCCCTGGGATTTTACATGAAGGATTTTAAGGATTGGGCTTTACCAGTGAGACTGTGGAAGAGAAACAACAACATTCGACCTAAGAGGTGTAAGAGGCGCTTTGCTAGAAAAGTTCTTGGCAACACCTATAGCACATGGTGCAATAGCCAGGTAACAGTTCCTGTTCTGAATGATCTGGAGGGGAAATGAAATTCCAGGTAGGATGGGAGCCTTGTTACAGGTGCTCTGCTGAGCAGTGTAGCCAAGAGGTGTCACGACTCTGTTCTACAGTGTGCAGGCAAAGCTTCCTGGTACAGGGATGCTCACTTGGTTGTGAGCCCTGAGGCTCAGCCCATCCCTGCTCGTGAACAGCTTGGCCAGCTGCACCAACAGCTGGGCTGCACCTTTGCGCGAGCTTCTCTGTCCCTTGGTAGCCAAGGGGAAGAGAAGTGCGTACCCCCAGAGAGCACGCAGATCCTCTCTCAGGACAGATGAGCTGCCCATGATGTGTGTGGGATTTTTTCCCCTGCTGACTGTAGCAGATTGATTAGTGTCAGTATAGATGTCAAGTTTAGGGCAGGAATCTAAAAGCTGAATAAGGTTTACTCATTTGGGCTTTGTCCGTTTGCCAAATGTCATCATTCTGCAAGTGCAAGCTGTTAGTGCCAGCTAGACCATCTTCCTGTGGTGTTTCTGTTAATGTTTCAGTATTTCTGGTTGGCTTGCCTCTACGTGAGGCCTCAGGGGGCCAGATCTTGGTCTCCCTGGCAGTGTATAATTAGCACGGGAGGTAAATTCCCCTCCTCAGCTGGCTGGGTGAATTCTTAACCTTCCTGGCATCCAGACAGGTTGGACACTGCGAGCTTTCACTCACTAGAGTGGGACGGTTGTTGCTGTGGGTTTAGGACAATTACTGAGTGCTGGTCTAGTCAGACACTCATTGTGTAACCCATCTCTAAAGTGCTGCCAGGGAGCGCTGGCTTCCTCTGAGGGATAAGGAAAGGGCTGTATAAATACCAATGCTTTGGTATTGCAGAGCCCTCCTCTTTTGGAAGAGGCTTAGTGTCTAAACAAGACCGGGAGGTATCCAGAGAATATGAAATGTGCTGCAGCAGCTGTTAACTTCATCAGACTACCCTGAGAAATAAGTGGCTGTGTGTTTTGGGTGGCAGGAGGCAGCGTTACCTGAACTAAAGCTTAGGGCTCTCCTAAGTGCAGCACTCTGTTGAGGTCAGTCTGCACAGGCTGATGGCTCCCTGCTTGGTTCCTTATATGAGCTTTCTGGAAATGAAACTAGTCTTACAGAGCAAATAAAATCGGTCTCGTAAGTAACTTCATCCAGTAAATTGTCTAAGCCAGTAAATGATTTTTTATTTGCATGTAGCCGAGTGAGATTGTGGAACGCTTGTGGGTGTGAGTTTTTAACTGCCTTAAATACTCACTGTGAAGCGTTACAGACTAAATGAGGACAAATGCCTTTAACTTGTGTGTACAACTGGCTGCTCCCTTGGGGGTGAGTTACTCGAAAAGAGGTAAACTCCTTGCAAGCAGGAGAGAAGATTTTCTCCTGAGGAGTCAATACATTATGGCAGAAACAGACATTTACACTCGAGTTGATGCCCGTTCATCTCAATTGATATTTTTCCTCCCCAGGAATGGTCCAGAATTTGAAGCTCGAATTCGTCAGAATGAAATAAATAACCCCAAGTTCAATTTCTTGAATCCAAATGATCCTTACCATGCATACTACCGGCACAAAGTCAGCGAGTTCAAGGAGGGCAAAGCACAGGAGCCCTCGGCTGCTATTCCCAAGGTCATGCAGCAGCAGCAAAGCGCTCAGCAGCAGCTGCCACAGAAGGTAGGTGTTGCTTCTCACTCTAGTAGAGAATTTGGCTTCTGACTGGTTGTGTCACAGCTGGACGTTAAGCAGGAGATCTGAAAGATGAGACAAGTGAAGGAGTTACACATTTGCAAAGAGTTTAGTATCTGGGACTTTGTTTTGATGCAAATGTGCATCCCCCCCAGTTGCTGGTAACTCGAAGTGGTGTGAGAGAGCCCATGTATTGTTCTGCTTAGTGCATCTTAATTACCTTTAACTGTGTAGTGACTGATACAGTAATCGCTTGGAGCTCAGTTTGGGCTTGTTGCGTGCACTGTTTGAAGAAACATTTCCTTTCTTTCTGGCAGAAGGATGAGCTTCCACTTAAAATATGGGGTACAGAATGTTGCTAACCTTGTTTAGCTGTGCCTGTGTACATACTGGATGGAGAAAGGGCACTGTCTGAGTCCAGGTCTCCTATGCTTTGCATGGCCAATAGTCACGCTGTGTGTTATTGGCTGTCCTGGAGGGTTATAGTGAAGTCCTGATTATTTCCAGGTTTTTATAGCTGTTGGAGCCACATTTGGTTTATAGTAGGCCTAAATACAGGCACCTAGATCTACCCTGTGGTACTAATTTTTCTCATCCTTGCAGCTGCCAGGATATCTAGATTCAAGTTGCTTTCCTGCAACAGCTGAAGGAAAAATGGGCTCTCTGAGGTGTTTGGTAACAATTTCTTCAGTCACTGAGCTGTCTGTTCACCTCTGCAGGTGCAGGCCCAGGTGATCCAGGAGACAGTCGTTCCAAAAGAGCCACCTCCGGAGTTCGAGTTCATTGCAGATCCTCCCTCCATCTCAGCATTTGACTTGGATGTAGTGAAGCTAACGGCGCAGTTTGTGGCTCGGAACGGGCGGCAGTTCTTGACTCAGCTGATGCAGAAAGAGCAGAGGAACTACCAGTTTGACTTCCTTCGCCCCCAGCACAGTCTCTTTAACTACTTCACGAAGCTGGTGGAGCAGTACACAAAGGTACTCGTGGCAGTTTACCTGCCAAGTTCGTTCCTTCAGCAGCAGTGTAGAGTTTTGAAGGCTACTGAAGACTTACAAAACAGCCGGACTAGAAATATGTGCAGGTCTAGGAGTCCATCCTTTCAATCTCACTCTTCAAGCAGAGTGGTTGTCTTGCACGGTGTTGGCGATGTGCAGCACTGAGCAGTGGACTGTTACTTTAATGTGTGAGACGTTGTAATAGAAGTAAAAGTTGTGGGTTTTAAACTATGGAGGGCAGCTGGAAGGCCCAGAGGGAATATTTCTAAGTGCAAGTACGAACAATAATAAGAGGGTTGCAATAGAGTAAATGGAATATAACCCCAGGGGTCTGATACTTTTGTCAGTGGGGAAAGAGAATAATTGCTTTTAAGGAGGCTTTGACAAAAAGAATTGTCACCAACTATTGTGCAAAATATGTTGCAGATCTTGATCCCACCGAAAGGCTTACTGCTCAAACTCAAGAAAGAGGCCGAAAATCCCAAGGAAGTCCTAGACCAGGTGTTGTATGAAAAATTTGGAAAATTGCTGAAGTGTTTCAGTTCTGTGTTAATTTTTTTCTGTTTGCATGTTTGACATAGTGACAGCAAATAGAAATACACAGATGTGTCCCCTGTAGTCACTTGAGTACAGGGTACCCCAGTTTCCCTCTCAGACAGCTTCACCGTGACGCCTCAGTCCTTCCACGCTGTTCTCTATTACTTTGACTTCTGTCTCTGTCACAAAGACTGCTTTTGCTTTGGAAAGATGGTGTTACAGAGTTGTAATAAAGTGTCTGTGAATTGTTTGTAGACTGTGAATCTTGAGAGTCATGTCACACCTGGATGGCTTGGTCTTGGCTCAAGAGGTCTGCGACTCCAGCTTTAGAAAGCTGATTTATAAAGCTGGCGCAATGCAGTACTCAGTAGGCAAACCTGTAGTTTCTAAATGAAATACAGATACTACTTTGTTGTGCCAGGCCTCTGAAGCAGTGGTTGTGTAACTGCCCTGAAAGGGTTGGTAGCGTAAACTTCTGGATGCTGTAGAGATGATTGTGATCTGTTTCTTGTCTGACATCTGGTGCTTGTGTTATGTCTGCTTGTGCAGGTTTATTACAGAGTGGAGTGGGCAAAGTTCCAGGAGCGAGAGAGAAAGAAGGAAGAGGAGGAGAAGGAAAAGGAGCGTGTTGCTTATGCCCAGATTGACTGGCATGACTTTGTGGTCGTGGAAACAGTTGACTTTCAGCCCAATGAGCAAGGTACTGAAGTTAAGCACTGTAACCTTGATGAAACTCTGCCCCTTTTGAGTAGGGACTATGTCCTGAAATGCCCCTTTTAGACAGACACTGGGTTTTACAGCTGCGTATCCTTCAAAGATAAAAGGGAAAGCCTCCTAGTGACAGTGTGCAGGGCTGGATTTTTTTCTGGAGTTGACAATAATGTTCTCCTTACATGAAGTCCAGGTCTCCACTAGTGTCCGCTTTTCCACTTTTACCAGGACAGCAGAACTTGTCCCATGTTCTAGCAGTGCTTTTACCTGTAAATACCTTCATTCTCATGTGTTATGCTGGCATTGGTCTGTATAGACTCCATCCATTCTCTTCTATATACCTTAGCTCCCACCCGGGAGATTTTGATGCCACTGCTTTGTACAGAAACTGATTTTTATTCAAGAGACTGGTATTTCTGTCTGTGCATTTAACAACGAAATAGGATAGAGAAACGGAAGCTCTGTTTTCTGTGTTGCAGGGAATTTCCCTCCTCCCACCACTCCAGAAGAGCTGGGAGCTCGAATCCTGATCCAGGAGCGGTATGAGAAGTTTGGGGAAAGTGAGGAGGTGGAGATGGAGGTGGAGTCAGATGAGGAAGATGAAAAGCAAGAGAAAACAGATGAGCCCCCAGCTCAACTGGATCAAGACACACAAGTGCAGGATATGGATGAGGTAACGAGTCAATAGAATCAACACTACTTCTTCTCTGTAAAGTTTGTGTGGCTTATGCTGCCCTTCATTTTCACTGTAAGAAGTTCCTCAGTTTCTTGAGGAAATGAGATTTCCTTCTGATGGAATTTCAAAACAAGCTGTTTCTGCTGGAGTACGGTATCTTTAATGTTTTCCATGACAGTACAATTTCCAAGAGAGAAATCCAGTAATTTTGTCACCTCATAGTGTGGATTTTATGTTTATGTGATCAAGCCTTTTGGGCTTTCCTCTGCACAGGGGCTGGAGCACTGTAAGATGACTCATTTTTACACTCTTCCTCCACCCACTGTATGTAAGCTGTTTTTCTGGTGACAAGGAACAAGAGCATGGTTAACTGTAAGCCCCTGCTTGCTGTGCTGTGGTAATGTGGAAGTTGAGGAGTACTTGCTTCCTCTTCTGGGTCCGCTGAATTTCTGAATTGTAATTATCCAGAGGAACCACTGTGGCATAGGTGTCCAGAGGCAAAATAGCTGTGTTGCTTTGAAGCTGTGTAGTTGGTTCTTCCAGCACTGCTTAGGATTTTTATGCCTTTCTGAAATCTTGTTTGTTGCTATTTGGCTACAAGAACCTGTTAATGACTTTAGTTTTCTAAATAAGGGTTCAGATGATGAAGATGAAGGTCAGAAGGTTCCTCCTCCTCCAGAAACCCCGATGCCACCACCTCTTCCTCCCACGCCAGATCAGGTCATTGTGCGGAAAGATTATGATCCCAAAGGTGAAGGAAAAACTTTATTTCTTCCTGAATGACCACAAAAGCACTTGTTTCTAGGCTGGGTCCTCTGATGTGTTTTTAACAATGTGGTTTTGTTTTTCTAGCCTCAAAACCATTGCCACCCGCTCCAGCTCCAGATGAGTATCTTGTTTCCCCCATCACTGGAGAGAAAATTCCTGCCAGTAAAATGCAAGAACACATGCGAATTGGTCTCCTGGATCCTCGATGGTTGGAGCAGCGTGATCGATCCATCCGTGAAAAGCAGAGTGATGATGAGGTGTATGCCCCAGGTCAGCTCAAGCATCTGATGAGACTTGCAAAACCCGCTTCCTAAATGAGTTCTGTGAACTCTTAGCACACCCCCTCGCTCCCCAAGGTCACACGTATAAGGACCATCTCAAGTGTAGCTTTCTGTGTGATGTCCTTAGTGTGCTGATGATGTGGATCCATTTGGCACTCAGACGTTGAAACCTTTCAGTAAAGTTAAAGGCGAAGAGCATTAACGGCTGCCGACCAGCCAGCAGTTGCAGTCTCTTTCTAAAAAGAGCAGCACTCAGTTCCTGGGTGCCAAGCAGTTTAGAGATCATTAACAGAGACTTGCTCATGTTTGGCTTTGATTATATAGCTTGAAATAAGAATTTCTGGTTTTGCCTGCAGGTTTGGATATTGAAAGCAGCTTGAAGCAGCTGGCAGAGCGCCGTACTGATATCTTTGGTGTAGAGGAGACTGCCATTGGTAAAAAGATCGGTGAAGAAGAAATCCAGAAACCAGAGGAAAAGGTAGAGTGGAAACTTGTTTTTTAACAGGTTGCTGTAGTATTATGAATGCTTAGAGAGATAGGAGTCTTTTGAACTTGCGCTCTTTGATTTATTTGCAGCTCACACCGCAGTCTGGACAGGCTGCAGTGATTGTGATTTATTTTATCCTCTCAGGTGACCTGGGATGGCCACTCGGGCAGCATGGCTCGCACACAACAGGCTGCTCAGGCCAATATTACTCTCCAAGAGCAAATCGAAGCTATCCATAAGGCCAAGGGCCTGGTGCCAGAAGATGACAGCAAGGAGAAGATCGGTCCCAGCAAACCCAATGAGATGCCCCAGCCACCGCCTCCTTCATCAGCATCAAATCCCCCGGCCAGTGCTCAGCCTATCACATCTGTGCCTCGCCCACCCACAGTAAGTGTTTGGGCTTCCAAAAGGAAGTGGCTGTGACCGCGGTTAATTAGAAGGGAGTGCTGACTAAGATCAAGGGTCATAGCAGCAGGGCACTGGCTTAGAAGCAAATTTTGGGTGAAGTTTGTGTTTCCAAATGACTCTTAAACCCTATTGAGCTTGCTGTTAAACATGGAAAATAAGACTTGGGTGTGGCTTTTCATCCTTAGAGGTACCAAAAAGACTTGATGAGCTGGGCAGTAAGACCTTGAAGGAAGGGAGTATGGCTTACAAAGGAATGGGTGGGGGCCTTTCTTTCGGGGTACTAAAGCATGATGCAGAACAAAAGTAGCCCCAGGTAAGAAATGGTCACAGGTGACTCACTTCCCCAGTGCTCCTGCCCCAAGGGTTCTGCTGGTGACTCTGAAATAGCCCCTCCTTTGAGATTGGCTCATGGTCTGATACCATGAGTGGTGAGGGAAGGAGGAACCCTTTAATCTGTTAATGAGGCCTCTGCACCCATTTGCAGGCAGCTTGGACCGGCCATACGGTGGGCTTGCTTGAGCTTCCAGCCAGCCTTTGGCCAGTCAAAATCCTCTGTGTGTTGCCCTGGTTATTTTAATCAGGATTGTGAACAGCACCGAGCTGCTCAGAAAATATACCCTCTCTCTCCAGATGCCCCCTCCCGTTCGTGCCGCTGTTGTTTCTGCAGTTCCAGTCATGCCTCGGCCCCCTATGACTCCTGTGGTCCGTTTGCCGCCGGGATCTGTCATAGCCACCCCCATGCCACCAATAATCCACACCCCGCGCATCAACGTGGTCCCCATGCCGCCCTCTGCTCCTCCCATCATGAGCCCCCGCCCGCCTCCCATGATAGTGCCAACAGGTGGGTGACTTTGGCTTTTTTCTAGTTAATTGTCAGCTAGTCCCTGTGTGATGTGATTGTTTTTTCCTTTAATGCCTGTGATAACGGGGTGTAATTGGGATTGCAGTATCTAAGTCCCATCGTTAAAAATTCTGGGATGTTTGCTAAGGTGTCTCTAGCAGTACTGGTGGGCTCCAAACTCCTCCTGCAGCATGAAGTACAGAGAATTCTGTCTTGCCCGTTTTACGTCTGTGTCCCCAGGAGCCTGCTCGGGAAGATTAAGAATCCACACCGCTTTCCAAAAGGCACCAGAGTAAAGAGGAAGTGCCAGTGCCTCACCAGGTGTGGTGTGTGACTTCTTACAGAAGTCACTGCTGCAGGAGGAGAAGCTGTTGTCTGGCCCCTTTCCTCATAGCAGCTCCATAGCGTTAGGTGCTTTTTAAGTTGAAAAGCTCAATGTGAAGAAATAATTTTTCACGGTTTTTTTTTTTCTTTATTTTCTTTTTTAAAGTTGAGGTGCTGGCACCGCTGTGTGGCAGACTGAGAGTGTTTTCTTTTTTGCAAGATCTGCAGGAAGCTCCTATGCCACTTGTTGCCTTTTCCTGAACTGTTTCCCAGTATAAAAGATCTTCTAGCATTTGAAGTTTGCGTGTTACTGATGGTTGTGTTAACTTCCTCCATGTATTGTGGCGTGCATTTTCAGCCTTTACTGGTCTGCTAAAAGAATTCTTGTGTAAGGCAGTGTCTGCTGTGTGTTCAGTGGATGACAGCAGGTTGTGTTGTGTGTCCTCCATCCCATTGCAGCGTTTGTTCCTGCTCCTCCTGTGGCTCCGGTTCCTTCCCCAGCGCCGATGCCTCCTGTCCACCCGCCGCCCCCCATGGAGGATGAGCCGGTCTCAAAGAAACTGAAGAGCGAAGACAGCCTGATTCCAGAGGAGGAGTTCCTGCGCAGGAACAAGGTTTGTGTGTGGGCTGGCCGCTTGTTGGGAAGTGCCAGATCCTGACCCTGCTGTCCAGCCTCCTCTGCCCAATGGGGATGTAAAGCCAGCTCTGCACCGAGAGGAGCTGGTGTGCAGAAGGACTTTGCAAGGAAGTGACTTCCTGAGGTGGCTTCTTCCTGCAGTCACTCCTGAGCAGAGTGAACTGTTTTGTATTTTACTGCAAAGAGCAACGCGTTGCTACAGACAGAAGTTTACAGACAAGTACTGTGACTAATTAAGGACAGTGAGGGGTTGGTTTATAGTAATGTAAAGAAGAACTAAAGCTGCTAATAAGCTTTTAAGCAGAGGACTGCTAAGCTGGAGATGCAAGGCGATTTGATCCATCAGTGTCAGTGTGGTAGTGTGGTAATGTGGTGTGTTCCGTAACATCATCTGAATGCCTTCTTGAGGAGTGCCGTCGTCGTGGTTGAGTTTTAAGTCCTTTAAGAAGGCTGTATGGTTTTTTCTGGTCATCTGCACAGAGTAGCATCTCCTGTTTAATGCTTCGTACACTCGCTCTAACACTGGATGCGTGTGATGTCTGGTGAATGCCATGCGAGAAGAGGGACTAATGAGAAATCCAACTAAATGTGTTATTTTGCTCGCGGTGAAGTAACTTTCTCAGTATTGAGGCAAATACATTTCTGTGTGTTTACTGAGAAGTCGAGATAAGTGGCTAGCTTTGGAAAGAAAGAATTTGTCTGCCGCTCTGTTATCATAGTCCTGAGCCTTCTTGCCTGTGAGAGACCTTATCTTTGTTTCCTCTAGGGTCCAGTCACGGTCAAAGTCCAGGTTCCCAACATGCAGGACAAGACAGAATGGAAGCTGAACGGCCAAGTGCTGGTGTTCACCCTGCCCCTCTCAGACCAGGCACGTAGCTTATTAACATGGCCTCCGCCCCTTCTTGTTTTGCTACCAAATTTCTTTGCTTTGAGAATAGCAGTCGACCTGCATGGCAGAAGCTGTAAAACCCCAGCTGTTCCCCGCCCTGCGGCCTCTTGCCCAGCGGGGTTGCATGGCTGGGGGAGCAGTGTTGCCTGTCTGTACAGTGCGGGGGGAGGAAAGCCTGAGCAAGCTCTTTGGTTCTTCCTAGGTGTCTGTTATAAAGGTTAAGATCCACGAGGCCACAGGGATGCCGGCTGGGAAACAGAAGCTGCAGTATGAGGTGGGTATAAAGTCCTTCAAATGCTGTTTGTTACTTTGGTGCTTTCTTACCCACAGACTGACTCTTTACAAGAAAAAGTTGTGATTTACCTACTGAGACAGTGGGAAGAGCAGCGGGGATGTTCCTCCTGTCTGCGCAGCACGCCTGGTCACAGACTTGCATGCTGATACAGCAGGGCAGGTCTTTCATGGGTGCCATCAGTGGATCTTCACGTTGTCACTGCCGCAGATGAGTCCTCTAAGCTTGATGGCTTTCTCTGAAATCAGCCTCTTATTTTTTGGGGGGGAGGTTGGCATTTAAATGCAGCAGTCTGCTCCCACTGATCTGTTGTGTATGGAAGGTGGGCGAGAGTACCTTGAAATCTTGGCAGCTCTGAAAATACTTTCTCCACGATACAGAAGGGAAGAGCTCCCTCTCTCTTCAGTTTGAGACTGAAGCTGTTAGAAAGGCACTGCTCCTTTTTAAGAACTTGTTTCCAGCCATGCATGTGCACAGGCAGAAACTGCTGCCGAAGCAGTGGACTTTGTGCACTGATCTCCTCAGGAGTTCCCCTGTGTGCAGATCTTGTGTTAACCCTTGGGGAGAAAGGAAGCTTAACTGATTTATTAAGGGGAAAAAAAAAGCACTGGCTTTGTGGGAAGGGAGCATTAAGATTTCTGCTGTGACTTTTTTTTTTCTCCCTTTACTTTTCTCCTCCCCTCAGGGCATCTTCATCAAGGATTCGAACTCCCTGGCTTACTACAACATGACGAGTGGCTCTCTGATTCACCTGGCGCTCAAGGAAAGAGGAGGCAGAAAGAAATAAGAGCTGTGGAGCCCAGACACAGCATGGCTGCGTGTAACTCTGACCCTTTGAATCCTCCGACCCTTTGAATCCTCCGACCTTTTAGGGGCTCCCGTGGCTGCCTGCCAGCTCCAGTTTGAAAAGAGACTGTGAAGCCCACATCTGGGGGGCTGATGAGAGCGGGGAGGCTGACAGAGCCCTGCAAGTTGTGTAAATGTAGTGCCGTAGTCTATAGCCGCAGCAGCCTGGTAGTGAGTGATGCTTTGCTCGAGTGCTGGCTCTCTGCTCAGTTCCCTCGCAAAGCAGCATGGAGGTCGTGCCCAGCTTAGCCTCGATCCATCTTTGAGGGATTTACACTGACCAGGAACATCTTCTGTCTGACTGCAGTGCTTGCTGCTTCATTTAACGTTTTTCTGATTGAAAACTCCCTCCTCCTCAGCACACTTACTAGGCCCCTTGTTCTTTCTCTGTTTCTGATCTGTTTGCAAGAGCCTCTTGCGCTGACCCTGACTTGGAAATTTACCCTCCCTCGGTGCGAGCGGATGCGGCCGTTCCCTGTGATAGAGAGCGGGGTCTGTGCGCCGAGCGGCGCCGTGCTGCTGCACAGCCTGTGATCTGTTTTAATAAACACGTGTCTGGGTGCAGGGTTCTGTCCTGGCTCTCTTTCCTGGGGTTTTAGAGGGTTTAGGTGGAGATATGCCTGGATTCAGAGCACAAAAAAGGATTGCGGGTAAATACACTGGGGTTTTGTAGTTAAGCAGTTTATCATAAGAAATGCTTTTGTTTTCTAGGAAGGGCTGCGAGAAAAAGATTTTGTTAAAATTTCCCTGGTGCTGCACAGTTATTGCTGAACATAAAGCATGTATACATGAATGTTTATGCCTGAATATTAGAGTAGAATGACTACTTGGAACCTCGGATTTTATTGGAAAACATAACTGCACTTTGTGTTGTGCAGCTGGCACCGCTTGGGTCTGGAGAGCGCACGGGTCTGCAAAATGGGTTATCCCTGTACCTGCACTCAGAGCTGTGTCGCAGTTTGATACGAACACATCGGAGCAAAGTTAATTTGCAGCAAGATAATGAGGTGCTGTGGAAGAGGTGGTTATGATTTGGGTACCTCTGCTCTTCTTTTGGGATAATAATGCAAAGCCGTGGATTTATTCTTTTGTTTTTAGTGATGGTCAGGCCTTACAGGAACATCCTGTTTACCATATTTTGCTCTTGAGGGG